TCTATTTCTATATTTTTGACGTTTGACATAACCCGAAAAAAAAAAAAAGGTACCATTAACGACTTGACTGCCACGACCTTTTTCTTATTACTGACACTTCTCTTTGCACCGTTCTCTTCTTCACTGCCTTTCTGTTTTCTTGCTCCCCTCCTACCAGGAACTATGAGTTTTCGTCCGAACAGCACGATGTTGGTGCTGTTTGTTTGTTTCAGGAACTCTTTATAAATCTCATTCAACATAATTCAACATATAACTCCAGCGAGGACCTATGAATTTCGACTATCGTTAACTTCCTTTTTTCTCTTCGTTTGTTACCTGGCAAGTCCATACCGGATATTTTTTACTTTATTGGTTGCTTTCTACACAGTCAGATTGCTAGACGTATCTTGTTTTCCATGTTCATATGTTCAGCGTTCTCCGTCTGATCAGTTACGGGTCAATTTTGTTGCACCCTTACATAGACTAGCATTCAATATCTGTTCCTCCAGTATGGAAGCAAATAGAAAAATATATATATAGATGTTGTGATTGTTCACAGCTTCGATCCGTCCTCTTGCCTCTCACCAATCAATTCCATAAAACTTTCATGTACTTCTTCCGTCAGGTCACCCGCCTGCATGCTTCGACCTTTCGCTAGAAACGCCCTCCTAGAGCATTCTCGTGTAATAGCGCTGCCTGCCCAAGCAGCCAATAACAACGTAGTTTTCCTTGACATTTTCTTGCCGTGATTGATATCACCGTAAATCTCCTTTTTAATCATTTGAGGATCATCTCCAGAACCCTCATCAGCACTTGAAGTTGAGCCATCGTCCCAAAGCCCGTCATGATATGCTTTTCTCCACGCCATGAAGGTTCCCAGCGAACCGGTAAGGGTATCGCCTTGCCCACCACTTCGTTTCTTCCCGCCTTCAACATCAGATATAATGGATACATCACCATTAGAAATGACATCATGAGGTCCTTTTTGGATAATTAAAACACCGCCCAGCGCACGAGATAGTTTCTCACACGCATCAGACCTGGATTTCTCCTTGTCCGAGTCGGACTTGCCCTCGCTCGATGGGGGGTCAAGGCCAACTGATTTGCTGAGTCGAGCAAATTCCACCACATTGGGAGTCAATATACACTCTTTATAGCCGTGTACTAGCTTAGGATCGTTTTGAACAAGTATCAAGGCATCAGCATCCATGACCAATGCAACGTTTTGTTTAATTGCCTCTTTGATCACACTGGCTGTTATCTTCTGAGTTAACGGGTCACGACCAAGGCCTGGTCCAATAACGAGGGCATGAAGACGGGGCAGAAAGCCAACAATTGGTTTGACGTAATCTGATATGCTCTTGTTAGGAGTATCATTCTGCACGCTTGAGCTGCTCTGTAGGATCGGATGAACCATCAGATTTGGTGAGTATGTTTTGATTACTGGCGCGGCAGATGGCTCGCATATAACATGGCTCTTCGTTGAATCTGTTAGTAGTATATTCTCTCTCAGTAATATGTAGATTGCCTTACCATATCACAGCCTAGTTTTGCTGATGCCATGGCAGAGAAGTAAGGAGCACCAGTGTAACTAAACAACCAACAGCAACAGTCAATGAAAAAAAGGTTCCCTCAATATTCCATAGTAAATATGGGATCATTCACGGTCCCATTAAGGTATTATTAGGAAGCCCGCCCTCTGAAGGATAACTACGCTGCAAATAGTAGAGAAAGTGGCATACTCAGAACTTCCCCCTATAACACATACACGGCCAAGTTGACCTTTTAATTAATGTTAGCAGAATGACGACCTGTGATGCTGCAAAAGAAACCTCGAAGATATAAGGCAATGCATAGAGAATACACTATTGCTTACCTTTATGGAATCGTTCCAGCATTGGCGGGACAATCTTACGGACCTTGTCGAGGATAGTCTTCGATGCCGATGACATATTTGGAGATGTAGCAGCAGACATGGGAGCCAGATGATATGCTTGAAATGACGGGTATTGTAGTATACCTATTTATGGATGAGTGTGAGTGTCCGTATCCAGGAGATGGTGGTCGGGAGTTGATGGTTGTAAGTTGTGGTCGAAACAAGCTTAAATAAATAGCTATGATGTCACTGTTTATTTGGTTATCGATAGCCAACCTGTATTCCTAGATTGTTACATGGATTGCAAGTAGGGAACAAGGAAGAACAATGAACCCAGGGGATTTATAACCTGATGATAAAGAGAGGAACAGATAACTATGGAACAAACAGCCTTTGATAATAAGCGCCTATGAAAAGCCAGTGAATTTCTTATGGCGCCTATGCTTCCCTCCATGCTATAACAAAGAAAAGACCAGACGTCGTACAATCATACAGTGCAGAAAGAGTAAAGGTCGCTAAACAATTAATAGAACGAGGTATCGCTAAAGCCACGGCAGATATTGCTACGGCTGAGTCAAAGGACAAATCAAGGAAATAAATAGGTCTGGCAGTGGTTGGTTCAGGGCGGGTGCATGTGCTGTTTGGTAACAATAGGAGGTAGATTCCTTTATTAGCGCCGTGACTTAGCAAGCGCATTTAGTTTCATCTTGCGCTCCATCTTTTCTTTCTTTGCTGCCATCTCGAGCCTGAGCTCTTCGGCATCTTCTTGTTTGGCGATTCTTAGCGCGGTCTGCTCCTCTTCTTCGACGTCGAGGAAGCCCGCTTCCATATCGGATTCGTCAGAATAATCGTCCTCGTCTTCATAGCCATAGTCGCCTTCGTCTTCTTCGTCCGTCCCAAGGTACTCATTTCTAGAAGCGCGACGGCTCTTGATACGGCCATACGAAGCTTCTCTGCCTTGGGCACGACGAGAAGGTAGGCCGGATGTGCCAGAGTAGGAGGACTCCGACGACCGTGCTGGGGGCAAGCTGCCCGGTCGTGGACGAGCGGTACCTTTATATGCCTCTTGTTTGCCCATTTCGGCTTGACGAGCTTTCAAAATGGCTTCTTTGGTGCTCCTTGAGGGAGCGGTAGCTGCAGATTTCTCGGTTGACAACTTCCGGTTTGCGGGTTCTCGATCCCGCTGTTTGGCTTCCTCTGTCATTTTCTTTTGTTGAACTTTGCTCTTCTTATCCTTGGGAACAGCCTGGTGCTTTATTAACCCAACGGCAGCCGGTGCCTTATTCTGCAGTGCCTTTGCCTCGGCCATGATTGCTGCATAGGAGCCCTTAGGGGGCGGCTTGGTTGAAACAGGAGCAGCACTGGTTTTAGACAGGACAGGTTTTGAAGCAGCTGTCGTGGAAGAGGCCGGTTTGGACGCAGGTTTACGAGCAGCATCGCTGTCCCTAGGCAGGCGTGAGGCCGGAGTCACAGGTTGAGGTGAAGAAGAAGGCAACGGCTTTGAAAATCGATCGTTCCGCGGAGCTGGTCGTGTCAGCTGTTCATCCGCTTTTCGTTTCTGGGCTGTGCCTGTATAGCCATTACTGTTTCCACTAATCGAGGTTGCTGCCAGCTTTGAGTTCAGGGAAGGCTTCTGGTTTGAGGACGTCGAGTCTGGGGTTGTACTTTTAGGTGGGGGAGGCGGGGTGATAGACACCTCCCCAGTCTCGATAGAGGAGAGAACGGAGTTTAGAAACTGGTTATGGGAGTCAAGATGTCAGTCATATGCCAGCAAAGAACTCGTTGGCTGGCCTGCAGGTGTCTCAAAGACTCACGCTCATTGTAGCAGGGTAGTATTGGATATTGTATGTAGCTCAGTATGTTTGGAAGGCAGAAACCGGTCACCAGCGATGACTGGAGTTTGAAAACAACTCATGATTCCCAGACAGAGAATCACCTCATAGCGAGAAGAGTCCGTTTTGCGGATCTTTATATCGGACTTATCGCCGCTTCATATATGGCCTGGCAGGGGGGTTGCAGGCGCTAGGAATGAGGTCTCAGGCAGCAGCTGGGGGCCCAGAGAGCCGCTGGAAGGAGACAAAGCGTCGGCACTGGTCGCGGCACCGGGATGCGACAGGCAGCAGCGGCGCAGGAGGTCTCGTTGGCGCTGAGTTGTTGAGAGTTAGCGAGCTCGACTCAAGAGGAGGATTTCAACGACGTATTTATAGCAAAAGGAAGAAAAAAAAAAGGCAAAGACGACCTGCTTACGTCATCAGAGTGACCGTGGCCTAAAGCGGACTAGCGCTGAGGCTCGCTTACTCTATAGATTATGTAAGCACACTTTCATCTTTTTGAGCTCTTTTTTTGGGCTTTTTTTTTGGGCGATTTTTCTTTTCTCTTCCACAACGACAACCAAAAGCCCTGAACTTGACGTCTCAGTCTCCGCCCAACTCGCGGTTAAATCGATTGTTTCTCTTGTTCACTCCTCATCTAACAGGTAAGGGAGTGCTGCTGAACTCGACGGGGGATGGACGAATTTGATTTGAGAACTAACAGTTGTATATAGAAAACATTTCAAAATGAAGCACCTCGCAGCTTTCCTTCTCCTCGGCCTTGCCGGCAACTCCTCGCCATCTGCCAGCGATATCAACGATGTTCTCTCCTCCGTCGGTATTGATGCCGACAACGAGCGCGTTGAGAAGCTCCTCGCCGAGCTCGAGGGCAAGGACATCCAGGAAGTAAGATATTTCCTCCCCGTCACCAATTGTCTTATGTGCGCGCGAATATAGGATAGGACATAGGCTAATCAAGCGCTTTGTAATAGTTGATTGCCGAGGGTTCTACCAAGCTCGCCTCCGTCCCAAGTGGTGGTGCCGGTGGTGCTGCTGCTGCTCCTGCCGCTGGCGGTGCTGCTGGTGGTGACGCTGCTGCCCCCGCCGAGGAGGCCAAGAAGGAGGAGCCAGAGGAGGACTCTGATGAGGACATGGGCTTCGGTCTCTTCGACTAAGCGCATCCTCTACGGGATACTACCAAAAAGAAAAAATAAAAAGAATTACGGCAGTGAATCGTTCGTTCGGCGTGTAACCAACAATGATGATGGATATGACTCAGCTCAGTCGGTGGAATATCTGTTTGATGCATTTACAGACATTATGATCTGGGTTTGGGCAACGGCTTGTCTTGTTATCAGCAGGAATCGCTGTCTTATCATAAACCACAGCAGGCTTTTAGTCTGTTGACACCATCGCAATGCAACTCGGCCTTACGGCTCCCTGCTGAATTTTCTACACCAGTATTACCTCCTCCAGAGTAACCCTTGTAATGAATACGTCAAATAGACGCACATTGTAGCTCATCGCCTCCAATCCCGCTGTCCCCGCTGCCCAGTGGCCTGGCCAAGGGCAGTCAGCGCGGGCGCGATCTGATATCGGATAATAGTTAAGCCATCCCGTCAATAGGGTTGCTTACATAAGGAATCCACTTAGGGCTAAGGTCGCTTAACCGAATTCGCTCCTCCACCTTTCGCGATCCAAATCGACTTTTTTCGACGTCGAGAAAGAAAACGAGACAGACAAACCCAACTTTTCGACAGTTTCTCTCCCCTTCTCGCATCCAAGGGCAAGCCAGTTTTGCCGAGAGAATAACACCGCAATCATGGCTGACGTTGAATATGTAAGTAACTGTGACTTTTTTGGTAAGAATCAGGATGGATTGAACTTGCGACTGACTGTTTCTATAGAACGCCGAGGAGGCTGCCGGTACGTGCTAGATGGCCCTGGGATATCTTTAACGAAAGAGGAGGACTGTTTTTTGGTTGATTTGCGAGGCTATGTCGATGGATGGGATGAAGAGAGTGCGGCTAGCTGACGAAACGACCACCAACAGAGATCAAGCGAAAGAGAGCCTTCCGCAAGTTTTCCTACCGTGGAATCGACCTCGACCAGTACGTTTCAAACCCCTGGGCTGCCCATATGAAATGAACCTGCCCAGCACGTTTTAATGCTCCGTTTTTGCGACAAATATCCGCGCTACCAGTTCGATAAGGGGAACATACGATCTAATGAAATAACTCTTGCAGACTCCTTGACCTCTCCTCCGAGCAGCTCCGAGATGTCGTTCACGCCCGTGCCCGCCGCAGATTCAACCGTGGCCTCAAGCGCAAGCCAATGGGCCTGATCAAGAAGCTCCGCAAGGCCAAGCAGGAGGCTAAGCCCAACGAGAAGCCAGATCTCGTCAAGACACATCTTCGTGACATGATTGTCGTACCGGAGATGATCGGCAGCGTCATCGGAATCTACTCTGGAAAGGAATTCAACCAGGTCGAGATCAAGCCCGAGATGGTTGGCCACTACTTGGCTGAGTTCTCTATCTCATAGTACGTCGTTTCCTATTCTCACCAGGCAGTTGATAATGGGATGTCTTTTTCTAACTTTGTTTTCCCCCATTTTAGCAAGCCTGTCAAGCACGGTCGACCCGGTATCGGTGCCACCCACTCTTCCCGTTTCATTCCTCTCAAGTAAACGAATAATCTGCACGCAAACTTGACGTTTTGTACTGGGTCATGTCAAAATGTTTCTATCTTCTCTTACATGGGGCACAAAAGAGACGGGGTTCTTGCTTTGTATGGAAGGGCTTTATATCCAGAACCTCGTTCTCCCAGGTCATGTAACGGCATTGAAAATGGAAAAGCTCTTGGAGAAAACAGCTTTTATCATGCTCATGCCAACCCGCGGCTAGATTTATGATTTTTAATGTATCTAGCAAAAATTTATTCCATACAACCAGTACTCGTACCTTAGCACACCCACCCCTGTTGGGTGCGCCTCATCGCAATGAAATTACCACCGATATGATATTACACTAATGTACCAGAACACCAAATTCATATAGAGGTATAGTAAGGCAATTTCTTAACCATCACAAGTATTATATATCGTCTAGATATATAATAGGATCCTCTTACTAGTAAATAATACTTCCTAATATATTTTTTCTAGTTTCAGGAGATATAGTAGAAGAAAAAGAGACATGCAATATTTTCCCATGTAATTTAGTAACTAGAAAGAAAAGGAATAAGTATCCACTTTCCTCCTTAAGAGTAAGTTCCTTAAAAGAGGACCTCTCTTTTATTTCGAAAGGCTCTATTAATGTGGTAGTCAAGATATAGAAGTAATATCATATCGGTGGTAATTTCATAGCGATGAGTTGCACCCAACAAGGCGCGAAGGTAAGGGTCATTAAGCCTTGCATGTCAGACGCGAGTAATAAGTGGCCACCCAAGGTCATATCCGATCTGTTGCAGGGAAAATAAATTCATCCATCAGTCTCCAGTGTTTCCTCAGCAATATTATTAAGGACCTTCCATGCAGAAGACATAGCTTCGGAAACAGAAGGCGTTGACGGATTGTAGCCAAGTTTCTTGACTGGGGCCATAAGAGCGTCATATTCCACTTTGATAGATCTAGCAACTCCAGGCGTCTCGTACTTCTGGTACTTGTTTAGCTTTGTAAGAATAGGGTAAATCGCCGATACAGGGTCGAATTTGTATTTACTTCCATTGGGAATCTTGCTTGACTGTTCACGTGTGATCGTCATGACCAGTTGTGAAAACACAAACTCATGGTTCGTGCGGGTGGGATGCCACTCGTGAGGATAGAGCACAGGGTCAACAAACAGGTATCGAACCAAACCATGTCGAAAGGCGGACCAAAAGTCCTTGATTTCAAGGAGAGACACCATCAGCTCTGATCGAATCTCTGGATATGGCTGTCGCGTAATAGGCCACAATTTGGTATCATGTAGGACCTTCATGGCGGACTTGAGTTGTTTCACTGCCGATTCGGCCTTGGAACTCCTTGCGGCTGTAAGCAGCTCCCTTGCTTGTTTTTCAGCCTCTTTAAGAGTTTCAACCTCTTCCGGGGATGGATTGGATGGGATGAATTGGTCTTCCCTAGCGGTAGTCCCTTGGGCGCATTTCGAGCATTTGCATGTGAAGAAGTATCTTTCAGCAAGCTGCTTCTGCCGAACCTCGAAAGGATAGGTGTTGTCGATGTAGGATATAAACACCTGCTCATCAGATTTGATTTCGCGCAGGGCTTTCACTGTGATCAGCCCTCCATCAAACCCAACAACGGCATTTGGTTCACAGCTATGATTCATATAGCATGCAAATGGCTGAATGCATAATCCCAGCGGATCACCAAATGCCGTGGTAAATGTGAAGCTATTGACTTCAATCTATGTCCCAAGAAATGCTCAGTATACGGGTATTCCCATTTGACAACAAAATGACATTAGTTACTCACCCTTGCTAAGTATTCGGCGATGGTCTCGACATCAAGTTCTGAGCCCGAATACTCCTTTTCTGCCTTTGCACTGAGCATTATCCGCTCATACTGTTCCTGATTTGATTTTGTAATCTCATCTAGGTGTGAACGAAGACTCAAAAACATGATCAGATCTGACTTCACATGGTCCTCATTCGAATTCCTCAACTTCACTATCCGAAGCACCGCTCTTGAGTTCACAGGGAGAATTTTGGGGTACAGCTTTTTGTATATAGCACATTCATGCTTGTGTATAAGCTTCCAGTTTGCAGATTGACATTTCTATTGTCCGTTAGAAGCCTATTCTCACCGACTAACTGGGTATATTATATACATATATAACTACCTGGAGGGAAAGCTTACCCTGTCGCAATACTTGACTACTTTGCAGCCAGAGCAGGCCCACAGTTTCATGTCAACGTTTGCCATGATGTTGACTCCGAACGGAAGATTTGCAAAGCAGTTCGAGCATGCGTCTTTCAGTCTCTCGGTGCTCAGCACTGTAGAGAACGTTGCAGGCATGCTGAACACGTCTTTGCCCATCTTAATAGTGGACGTTGCGAAGAGACCTCTCCCAGCATCGCCCGCCGGCCGGGGGACCACAGAAGCATTAAACTCTCCGAACGACGCCATCATCGACTAGCTAGATGGTTCCCTGTGAGCTGGCTGCCTTGATATACTGTTGTATAGATGAAGATGAACGGGTCAATATTTTTTCTCTCGCTTGTAGTTTGTCCGTGTGTTTGTTCACTCTGAAGCGACGTTGGGCCGTTGGTCTTGGCGCAAGTCGGACTTCATTCGATGGATTTTTGGCCGTTGAAGAAACATCTACACTCAACTACACTCAACTACAGACAATCTACAGACAATCTACATCTAATGTCTGCTACACGGCACTCGACTGTCTTACAGTTTTTAGACGGTGGTCAAATCTGATCACTAATTTATGGCCCTCTTGATGATGGTATAGCTGGAGAGAGTACAGCTATCCCATGGTACCCCTTTGGCCACTACAGAGACGAGCCTGGTCACGGAGAGAACATTTCTGGAGGAGAATATTGACGTCCTAGTTCTGATGATACCAAAAACGAACTCCAAATATCGGGCTTAATCATCGTGGATCAAACCTATCAAGGACGACTAGCTTGGTTCTCGCTCACACGGGCGCAGCTTGACAGAATAATATTTGTCCGAAGGGCTGTTGTGCGAGAAGAGGAGTCTAAGTAGCGCTTGGAGAAGCGGCAGGTCAGGGCATTCAACGTCCTTTTATAATACTTGGAGCAGGATAATCCTCCATCGAGCATTTCGATGCATCTGCCACTTTTCTCGACGTTGGGTCTTTCTCTGAATATTCACTTCATTTGAACGCAAATGAGGCTGGGAATGGTCCTCTGGTGAATAGTTTTTGTTATCATTACGCACTCTGAGAGTGTACTTTGTATATCATTAACCTGTATCCTCCTAGACAGTCTAGAGATGTGTTTTTATAACAGTTGGGTGGCAGGTCTACCTGGTCAATATCGGGTAGTACTCCTGGTGGTTTATACCGACCATGTAGAGCCTTCTGTTGATTAAAAATCCACGAATCAAAACAAATAGTTTACTAGTATAATTAACCTGCATGAACCGCCTGCTTCACCAAGTCAAAGCCAACATCAATACGCGAGAAACGAATTCAAACACAAGATATTAAGGCAAGGCTTTCTGGATCAGCTATCTACTCGCATGGCAATGTCAGCGAATAGACATGGACCCAACTTCTCATATCAAACCTTCTGCCACTATCTCCCCCGAACAACCGGTGCTTCCTCTTCGCCGACAGACGCAGAGAATATCAACCCCCAGATCAAGCGGATTCTCGGATGCTATCCAGACTCTACTATCTACGGAGCAGGAGGCCATTCGGCCCTGCTATCGATAAGTGACAGTTCATGCGTCAAAGTCTCCTACAAGCCTGGTGGTAAACATCTCATCCACGAACAGGAAATATTCAGACAGCTGGATCTGTCCCATGCCCGTCTATAGCTTGCGCACTCTACTGTGTTCCAGATCTCATCTTCATGGAACTTTACAAGAACGGTACTTCACGAGCGGCTGAACTCGAACAAGGCGCCTCGCCCGCCGGTACTTCAATGGATGCAGCAGCTTTTGGAGGCAGTGGCTTGCCTGGAAGCCCTCGGTTATGCCCACGGGGACATCAACCCCCGAAACATCATGGTCACCGAAGACGACCATCTCAGACTCATCGACTTTGACCATTCGCTCAAACTCGGCGAAGACCTGGAAGTTGGAGACTACCCTCATGTTCGTCCCATAAGCATGGCGGAAAACACGGCACAGCCCGGTGGTACGTTTAGCGTAGCGAGTGCCGCTACAGAGCTATTTGCTCTCGGGTCTATCTTCTGGTACATGGTACGAGGCACGGAGCTGTGGGCTGGTGTGCAGGGGCTAGATCTCGTTGACCGGCTTACAGCCCGTACATGCCCGGAGATGGACCTTGAAGATCCCGTTAACCGGATCATCAGAGAGTGCTGGACGGGGAGATTTGGTTCCGTGGCTGCACTGGCAGCCAGCTTGCATCCGCCAGCTGGCGTATTCGAGAGATCTTGAGCAGAACAAGAATCTATGCGGGCAGCCTTACAGGTTGATATGTGGCTACCTTGAGGGAGAACAAACCCTGTACTCCTGGCCCGTCGGACGTCTAGATCTCGGCTGCACAAGCGGGCTGGCCGCTGAATCTCAGCTCGAAGGATATCAAAAAAACAGATCCAAAACACTTCATTAAACCGCCAGGGCTGCCCCCGCTTAGATAAGGCAGCATACTTGGCGAATGGCCAGCGTCTAATTGGCTGGGCTGCGCACTTTTGGGCATCCGGAGGCCGGCTGTGGCCTGAGGGCGACGGCAAGATATAAACAAACTTGTTCGTTGATCTCGCGTTGACATGGAATAATCCCAGCTTACGGATCCAGACGATGGCATATTATGAACATGAGCCGGATTTCAGTGTCCATTTCGGCAAGACAACGTGTCTACTCTGCAGACACGTTGCAACCCCCGAGTCCCCTACCCTCGGTGGGTTTTGAGCCCCTGCTAATCTTTCTATTTGACTATTTGGTCGCACGGCACTAATAAGTTTGAGTACAGATCTACACGGACATGACCTTGGAACTCGGGAGTGTAAGCGATTATGTTTAGTGTGCATGATACATCCGATAGAGAAGCCATGGATGCACACGCTCTGTTACGACCTGCTGAAGGCCAGCAATAGGTCCAACGAGCCGACGCTCGAGGACCTGCAGAGATTCGGGAAGGCAGTCAGGCCCCTGTACAAGCCTGCGGATAGTGAGGATATCGACAGTGCGTCTTCCCGCGAGGGGCTCTTCTCCAGCCATGCACGGCCCATTGTGGAACAGAGTCTCCGGGTCGACCTGTTTGAGAGACTGCCAGCGGAAATCCAGGCTATTATTCTTAGCTATATCGGCCCATGCTGGTATCTGATCCTGCTGGGGGAGAGCCGCAGATTGATCGAGGAGTTGAGAAATGGTCGTAAGAGCCGCCAGAGTGAGCAATTCAGCCTGGAAAAAGAGGTATATATCTCGCGAATACCTTACCAGGGCAATTCCTATATTTCTACTATCTGCAATGAACCACCGGAGCCTGGCCTGGATGGCTTGAAGCTAGAGTGTTTGAAAGTACCAGATAGCCTGAGCAAGATCGTGCTATCAACTGACCATATTGGTGTACGCGGAATACAATGTGTGGTGGAGGGGGGCACTCCCCCACCATCAGATGGGTCACCATGGTATGAATTTTTTGACGTCTCAGACCGCAGCCAGGCGCTACATGTTGCTACTGAGGTAGTAGGAATGAACCTCCCCCCCCCCCCCCCCTTTCCCCCCCGCCACGAGTGAGTTATTCAATCTGACAAGTTGAGGTACGATTAGGGTCTATTTGTTAGAAAAATGCGGCGGGTCGAGGGGGAGGAAATCCACAACGATTCCCCCCTCTGGAGCACTCCGTCACCACCCGCATTCCAGCCGTGGAACGTGTATGACGATCGAGGAGGTCGTCGCTTAGACTACGTCAGCCTTGATGAGGAGGGTATACAGGGTCTCGTAGTGTGCTGCTACGGCGTGGCCAACGGGGGCTTGTTTGCCTTCTCCGGCGTTTCCAAACCATTCAAGCGGTTTGTCACCTCCATGCAACAAAACATCAGAACGGGCCCCATTTTCTGGATGTATTTTCCAATAAACGACGGCGAACAAATCGAGGCAGCATGGGTTCGCAAGATCAAAGGGTTATACGGCCAGATGTCCAACCCGGTATTAGTTGTACGTTCCATCTAAGTGTATCCCCAGCCCGCCAGCAAAGCCGGTCTGCTAACTAGCTAACGGTATAGATCAAAACGACGTTCGGAAGAACAGCTACATTCGGGCCCTACCACCGCGAAGACTACCGGCGGAAAGATGAGCTCATCCCGCTCGTCAAAGACAGCGACGGAACTATCTCAGGATTCATCCATGACGGACTAGACACAGACAAGCACGAAATCTCTCTATTCGGACTGACCTGCCGGAACCAAGACGGCAACGACAACGACAACGGCAACGACCCAAGCGACGACCACCACGACGACCACGAACACGAGCCCAGCGACAACAACAACGGCACAAAACTGTCCCCACCACCCGTTGAAAACTACATCTCTCCCCCGCCCTATGCTGCTGACGGACTACAGGCTTTGAATTGGTACATGACCGAGGCGCGGTTGGATGGAGTTTGCCGTGTGCGCGCGTGCAGGGATCTAGAGCAAGCGCACAACCCATGCATTGGAGTGCTACTTTACTATGATAACGGGCGCGCAGAGACCCTGGGCCAGATACGCTGGGACCAGGAAGTGTCGCAGGATATAAACGTTCCCGTACGACTTAGGCGGGGGAAGCTTGACGGGAACCCGTACGTTGCGGACATCCAGGGCATGGCTGCTGCTGGATGTGGCCCAACCGAGGGTGAGCCGGGTGATGAGTGGCTTGAGTTGCCGCGGACAGGGACGATGGTGTGGTGGTTTTGTATTTCGCGGGACATTATCTCTGTGTATGGCCATTGTACTCATTGTCGATAGATCTAGCCATACCTAAGGCGTGGGATGTATGTCTGTCTGCGCTATGCCTCCTAGTCAGTCAGGCAGTCGGCAGCTCCGAAAGAAGGGCCCAACCTAGTGGTCGAGGCGGTCCGCGGGCGGGAAGTTAAACTTAAAGGCCGAAGTTAACTTTACAGCAACCGCCGTCTCGAGTCTGTCATAAATAGATTGATAAAGAGAAAAAAATAATAATAATAGAAATATATATCAATCAACTTCCGTCAATGGATCAATAATAAATCAGACAATGTCTATCTATCTGCTAGTCGTGCTATTTCAAAACGATGCGCCGAAATAGAAGTTTTCCGAACCAACCGAACCGAACCGAACCGAAGCACAGCACGTAAAAAAAGCACCCCAAATAGCGCCTTACACCAACTTCCTACCCACGAAATCCGACCAGCTACGCACCTCAGACGGAATGCCTTCCTTCTTAGGCAGCTTCTCACTCATACATCTGGCAAACAGCAACGCCGTCTTGGGCTCCATGAAAAGCGGCACGCCGAAGTCCACCGCGTTCCTACGCATGACGTAGTTCTCGTCAAGAAGATGCTTACTTCTCTCGCGCGCAATGTTGAAGACTCCCCTGATATCGTTGCGCTCAAACACCTCTCGCAGCTTCCGCTTGTCCTGCTTCGGGAAGTCGATGATTTGAATGTTCAGATCATCCGGCTTAGCGGCGCAGTTTTGCTCGAGGAAGCGCCTGACGGGCTCGCTGGCTACGAATAGCTTGTAGCCTAGCGGATGCACATAATTGACTATCTGCGGGAGTTCAGACATGTCTATATCCCCGCCGAACAGTAGACCTTCGCCTGGTTGAGGGGTGCGGAAGTTCATGGTGGACTGTAGTGAGGCCCAGTAGGCTTCGACCAGGTCCTGGCCGAAACAGGCTATTTCGCCTGTACTTGCCATCTCGACGCCGAGGAAAGGGTCGGCACCGGCGAGTCGGGTCCAGCTGAATTGCGGCACTTTGGTAGCGAGGTAGGGACGGGATTGGGCCATGAGGTCAGTTGGCTGGGGGACGTTGGTGCCGACTAGGGCGCGGGTAGCGGCGTCGATGAAGTTGGTTCCGAGCACCTTGCTGACGAACGGGAACGAGCGGGAGGCGCGCAGGTTGCATTCGATGACTTTCAGGAGAGGCTCGGAGGGGTTTTGCGGGTTCTCGGCTTTGATGATTTGCATGTTAAATGGGCCTGTGATGGAGAAGGCACGGGCGACTTTCTCTGCGATAGTTTTCACGCGGGCCATGATGGAGGTGTCGAGGGAAGCGGGTGGGAGGACGAGAGTTGCATCTCCGGAGTGGACACCTGCGGGCTCGATGTGTTCGCTTACAGCGTGCAGGATGAGAGAGCCCTGAGAGGCCACGGCGTCGACGTCGATTTCTTCTGCGCCCTCGATGAATTTGGTGATTACCACGGGGTGGTCGGGGGAGACGGAGGAGGCGGAGAGGAGCTTCTCTTTGAGCTCGTCGCGGTTGTAGATGACGCTCATGGCGGCGCCGGAGAGGACGTAGCTTGGTCTGACGAGGACGGGGTACTGGACTGATTCAGCGAAGGCCTCTGCGTCCTCGAAGGAGGTGAGTTCCTTCCAGGCGGGCTGGTCGACGCCGATGCTGTCGAGGATCTGGGAGAATTTGTGGCGGTCTTCTGCCTTGTCGATGTCTTCTGGGTTGGTTCCAAGGACGTTTGCGCCGCCAGCCTGCTGGAGACGCAGGGCGATGTTCTGGGGCAACTGGCCGCCGACAGAGACGACGACGCCGGAAGCGCTTTCGAGTTCGTAGATGTCCATTACACGCTCGTAGCTGAGTTCTTCAAAGTAGAGCTTGTCTGCGGTGTCGAAGTCGGTAGAGTAGGTTTCGGGGTTGTAGTTGATCATGACTGTCTTCTTGCCCATGTTGCGTAGAGACAAGGTAGCGTTGACGGCACACCAATCGAACTCAACGGAGCTACCAATGCGGTAGACACCGCTTCCGAGAATGATGGTGCCCTTGTCCTCGAAGGTGACGTCGTGGGAGGAGGCATTGTATGTGGTGTAGAGGTAGTTTGTGTCTGCTGGGAACTCAGCGGCGAGGGTATCGATCTTCTTGACCCAGGGGTGTATGTCGAAGCTCTTTCTGCGAGCTCTGACTGCGTCTTCAGTGGTGTTCAAGCAGAGGGCAATCTGCCTGTCTGAGAAACCCATCTTCTTGGCTTCAAGGAGGACGTCCTTTTGCAGGTCAGACAAGCTAGCGATATGCTGGAGAGACTTGTGCATGTCAACGATATTCTGCAGCTTGTAGAGGAACCACTTGTCTATCTTGCTGAGCTCATGGACGCGGTCGACAGAGTAACCCTCGTGGAGCATAGCCTGGCCAACAGCAAGCCATCTGCGGTCGGTCGGGTTAGCCAGGACCTCGTCGAGGTTTTCAAACTTGTCGCCCTGGAACCCGACGAAGCGCGGGTCGACCTGGCGAATGGCCTTTTGGAAGGACTCTTCAAAGGTACGGCCGATGGCCATGACCTCGCCGACAGACTTCATGGAGCTGCCGATATCCCGCTTGACGTGCTGGAACTTGCTGAGATCCCAGCGCGGGATCTTGGTGACGATGTAGTCGAGACTGGGCTCGAAGTTGGCCGTGGTGGTCTTGGTGACTGCATTGGGCAGTTCGGGCAAAGTATGGCCCAGGCCTATCTTTGCAGCGGTGTATGCAAGGGGGTATCCGGTGGCCTTGGAGGCGAGGGCAGAAGAACGGGACAAGCGAGCATTGACCTCGATGACACGGTAGTCTAGCCCGTCCGGCTGGAGCGCATACTGGACGTTGCACTCGCCGACTACGCCCAGGTGACGGACGATCTTGATGGCAGCGGTACGGAGCATGTGGTATTCTTCATCAGAAAGGGTCTGGCTGGGAGCTACGACGATGCTGTCTCCCGTGTGGATGCCCAGTGGGTCAAAGTTCTCCATGTTGCAGACGGTGATGCAATTGTTGCTCGCATCACGGACGACTTCATACTCGACTTCCTTCCAGCCCTTGAGGGACTTTTCGACCAAGATCTGGGGAGCAAGGGTGAGAGAGCGAGAAGAGAGATCGCGCAGCTCGTCGGGGGTGCTGGCGAACCCGGAGCCGAGTCCACCCAGCGCGTAGGCCGAGCGGACGATAATCGGGTATCCTATCTTGTCAGCAGCAGCGAGGGCATCGTCGACGGAGCTGACGGCAATGGACTCTGCGATGGGGATGTTGATCTCGTTGAGGGCGCGGGCAAAGAGGTCTCTGTCCTCGCTGGTCTCGAGGGTCTTGATGGAGGTACCCAGCACGCGGACGCCGTAGCGGTCAAAGATGCCCATGCGGTTCATCTGGACGCCGAGGTTGAGGGCAGTCTGGCCCCCGAAGGCGAGGAAGATGCCGTCTGGCTGCTCACGCTCGATGACATAGGAGACATACTCGGGGGTGACGGGGAGGTAGTAGACCTCGTCGGCGAGCTTGTGGTCTGTCTGGATGGTCGCGATGTTGGGGTTGATCAGGACAGAGCGGACGCCGGCTTCCTTGAGAGCCTTTAACGCCTGGGAGCCTACAGACCGTTAGTCCAAGAACCAAGTCAAGAATAATAATAGTAATAAATGAAAAGTAACGCACCAGAGTAGTCGAACTCGCCGGCCTGGCCGATGCTGAGCCCTCCGCTGCCGATGACCAGGACTTTCTTGACGTCGACGAGCTTGGAGGAGCTGGCGGTGGAAAAGGCGGACGTTGCCTGCAGCTGGTGAGCCTTGAAGGCGTATCCATTGAGAGGCGGTGCCTGTGCCTGGGGCCGGAGTCTCCCCAGGCTGATGCTGCTCTTGGAGAGGGCGTGCCTGGCCGAGCAGCGAGCAGCCAGGGCGGGCGGCGGGAAGGTCGACTTGAAGCGTCTGGAGGTGGCCGTCACGAAGCTGGTGATGCTGGCGAAGCTGTCGCTGGTGGTGGAGCGCTGCCGGAGCAGGGACGAGAGCAGAGGTTGGGCGCGGAGGGACATCTTGTTGACTGTAGAGTAGTCAAAGTAGAGAGGAATTGGAGAAATCGACGAAGAGATTGACGAAGTTGAAGCTGAAAAGAGGTTGAGAAGTGAAGCTGAGATGTTGAGAGATGAGTCAAAGACGGTGTAACTGAGGACTTTTTTCTCTGGTCCGGATGCCAACAGAACTAACCGGCTAGTGAGAGTGGGAGCTCCAGCGAGGCTAAGTCTTAGTCTTGGGCCCAGCAGAGCCTTAGCGACATCGGAGGCGGTTTGAGACGTAGAGAGTGGTAGATGTAGATGAGATGTAGATGTAGTTGGAGATGTGAAGTTGAGATGAAGTCGAGATGTCGTTAAAAGGCGGAGTTGGCGATGTTTCTCTTCTTATTCTCTTTTTATTCTCTTCTACGACAACGACAGGAAAAGATCAACTACACCTTCAGCCAGACTCGGCTCTACTCAGTATTAATAGGTCAGTCTCTACTTAATCTATCTTACTCCAGCTGACTCTGGATGTAGGAAGACGAGCGACAGACAAGGATGTCTCGCTATAGACCGGGGCCTCCCTGCAGTGGATTGAAGCTGGGGTAAAGACGAGAAGATGAAGATATAAGAAGAGAAGAAGAGAAGAGGAGGATGAAAGCTCTGGCTAGTCTTTGGTTCTGCTCCTGCTGGTCGACGGCAGCAAAGGTGGAAGCAGGAGTAACAGAGCAGCTTCTCTTCTCTTCTCCTGCTAGCCACGCCCTACGGCCTGCAGAGACATGGATGGACAGACGTGGATGAGATGCTTGGATGCTGATGCTGATGCTGATGCTGGATGCAAAGATACCAGAGCCAGCCTTGTGGACGTCAAAGCATGGGAGGAAGACAAGCCTTGCCATGGCCGTTGACTGGCAGTAGTCTCTACTTCTCGACTCTCATTTACTTCTACCGGCTACTTCTACTGGATAATACTTTGAGGTTACAGTGAGAAGAGAGCCAGTCGAATACGAGCTGAAGGAAGATATAACTAAGGTAGAGGATGGAGATAATACGACAGACAGTTGAAAGGCCGGTGGTAGACGAGATGAAGCCGGCAGTTAAGAAGTGAAGATGCTCCAAGTCTTCTCTCACTCTCTTCTTCTCTTCTACATCGATAATCGAGATGAAGGCTGTCCTGTGGCTGCTGCTGGCCGGGCTCTGTCTCTGCCAGAGCTTGACCGTCGACTGGGACAGAGGGCAGCTGGTAGTTAGAGGACTCGATGGAAGGATCATTAAAGATGGAGATGGAGATGGAGATGGAGACTCTCTCTGGCTGGTTTCTTCTTCCTTCGAGTCTCGTCTCTGGGGTGAGTTTCTCTCTTCACTGTTCTGATACTCTTGCTAACAAAAGCAGAATCACCGTCAACTTCGACTTCAACTTCAGCATCACCACTTACCATCACCCTGCCGTCCCTCCTTCTGCGCCTCCACAGGCCTTCTCACATCTTCACCCTCGAACTCCGGCGTGATGGCTCTCCGCTGCTCCTCTCCGCGCCCTTCTCCATCCCCCCAGCCAGACTGACTCAACGCTCTCCATCGTCAGCCTCGCCATCCCCATCAATTGAACCAGCGCCGGGTTTCCGCAAGGACGAACATCCTAACCCGGGTGCCAGCCAGGGCCTGGCATGGGGTGTCACCATCGCCAGTCTCGCGGCCTCGGGTCTCGCAGCGTGGCTTTGCATCTACCGGCTGAGGAAGAGGAGACGACTTGCGGGGGGGCCTAGAGATTCAGCTGGACACAGCATCAACGGCGACGAAGAGGATGAAGTAGGTCAAGTCGATGGGCAGGTCAATGGACAGGTCAATGAAGAACAGGGACAAGGACAAGGACATGGAACCGAGATGGAGGTTCTTCAGGATAGACAAAAGGAGAAGACAGAAGAGAAAGAAGAGACGGGGAAGAAAAGCGAGGCTACAGGTCACCTCGACAGTGCGATGATGGCCCGGCTGGGGGTGTAGAAGACGACATATAGACAGGCAGTCTTATTCTCAATATGACAGTAATAATGACGATGATGGTAGAAATAATTCATGCATCCACGCCGGATACCGCGCTTGAAGAAGACTCGTATCCCTCGACCTATCTGTCCCGTCCATGCATGCATGCACCGCCGACCTGGTCCATCCTGACTCTATCGTCTTTTTGCTTCTTCCTCATCGTCGCCGTCGCCGTCGCCGTCTTCCCCCTGATCGCACCCGGACAGGCAGACTCCTTCATTGGCCTCACTTTCTCCCCCATCAGTGACGTTTTGATCCTGACCATCACCACTTTTCCTCCTTACCAACCGTCTACTTAGCCAATATTTATTCATGCAGTGGACTGTGATCGATCGGCCAGTCGATAATAGATAACTTCGACTGCCGCGTTTCACCCTTGACCGTCTCTTGCGCCTCCGTTGGCCATCTTTGCTCTCTTCCATCTGCAGAGCAAAAGGCTGCTGGAACCCCCTGAAACGAACCAACTCGAGCTCCAGCAAACTAACTCGCTGGTTAGTTCAATCGATCAGTCCGATTGACCCAGATTGACTTTTCAGTTAGTTCGTTTAGTGGCCTTTTTTTGCTTCTTCTTCTTCTTCTCTTCGTTGCTTCTTTTGCTGCGTTTTTTCATCTGGATCTGACAGTCGAGATAGCGTTACGAGCAGACGGTACGAGCATCTCCAGCCAGGAACCGAATAACAATAATGGACAGCGGAGAGCAAACTAGTGATGGCATTGATTTATTGAACCGAGATCGAGATACGGAACGGGACAATGGCATTGAGTTGGCATGGTTGACAGCAGACCGGTCAAGCCACGCAGCGATGACGATACAGTGACATCTGTACTCCAGGCCACCGCGAAATATGTGGCTGCCCTGCCCTCCCTGCTGCCCTCCCTGCTGCTCCTCGCGTTCTTCCCTGGCTCTTCACGGCTGTGGCAAGGGAGTCGGAAGTTAGGAGAAGCGTCCAGGAGCGCGGTGGATCCTGGCGGCAGGCAGAGAGCGCCCTTCATGTCCGTCATGATACTCCTCCTCCTCCTCCTTAATCATCCCTCTTATATGGCCCAAAACCAGGGGGAAGGGAGAGTCTCTGGAGTCCTCGAGGAAGCCCGAGATCGCTTCTCCGGCACTGGATGCAGCTCCATCCGGGACTCCGCAGGCAAAAGCCTCGATGGCGCAGATGAACCTTTCCTCTGGCCTCTGACTTCATGCCTTTAAACACACACTAACTACTCTCTCCTTCCCTCGTTCCGCAATTCACCGCTAGCCAGTCATCTTCTTCTTTTCTTTTTTTTTTACGTCTTTTTTTTTTTTTTTTTTTTTTTTTTTTTTAAACTTGCTGGTTTTTGCTCTTTGGGTAGCAACTGGATGGATGTGCTTGAACTATGCATGGCTGCTGGCCCATGTATATATCTGCGTCTCTGCCCTGTCCCGACGCTGGCTCCTGGACCCCCTTTCTTGTTTGCATTATATTGCATTCATTACCTCCTCGCACAGCTTTAATTTGCTGATCCCAATAGCAAGACGGCGTGGAACATCTGGGCATCGCACAGCAGGCAGTACATCCAGTCCTACTAACTATACTTCTGGACTCGCCCATACCGCTGCTGCTGTCTTGCCTTCTGTCCTTCAATCCTACCAGAGGAAGCGGAAATTTACTGCTCATACCACGTACACGCGGACAGAGCTACGAAATACAGGATAGATGGCCTCCGAAGTGTCTGTCCTGACGGTGCAGCTGCCGGCTGAGGCTGCGTCCAAGCAACAACTTGATACCCGCCAGTTCACCAAACTGCGCTTCCCACAGCATCACCCGCAGCATCACCCTCAATTGCGCCCTGGAGACCGAAGAAATGACCACCCGCGGCCCTCGGATAGCCCTCGCAGCCACAGTCCAAGAGGAGACAGGCGTCACCATGACCCCTATGCGCCGATAACCAGAGTGCGCAGCCGCGAGAACCTCAGCACCCTGCCTACACCACCCGGCACGCCCACGCAGCGCTACTACCGCCCGCGGCTCCAGCATGTCCAGCCCTCAAAGCCATCTCCTGCTGCTGCTGCTCTCCCGGCTGCTCTCCCGGCTGCTCTCCCTACTCCCCCCAGGCCCATAAGCTACTCCTCCGCGGGCTCCTCGCAGTACTCAGACCAGAACGCCAGCCCGCGCGAGCCCTCCTCGACATCCAGCTCGCCTCTCTCGCGCACCCCCGTCTCGGCCTCAGAGCTCGAACACCCACCTTGCTTCACCAACAGCAGCACCGCTGTCCGGCCGAAAAGCAATTGCTCGACTTCCAACCAGTCTACTTCGTCCTCTACTGCTTCTGCCTCTGTGCCCAAGAAAGTAGAATACCATACGCCGCCGCTCACCAACTCGCATTTCTCATGCTACCATTTCCACAAGACCTTCGTGCGCTCAAGTAACGTGCTGTACCCGCTCACTTGCATGACCTGTCTCAAGGCAGACCAGGAAGTGCGTTGGCGATGCGTCTTTTGCTGTCTGCGTATTTGCGCCGACTGTCTCGGCGGTATCAAGCGGTGCAAGGACAGATCGCTCATCGAGTTCATGGAGAAGCTGGTCATGGATCTCGAGGCTGTCGGGACTGCCACCACCACCGAGAAAGGAGAGAGCTCAGCTGATACAGTTGATACTGAACCCGGGCCTGGTCCTGGGCCCGAAGTTGATGATACTGCTCCCGAACCTGCGAGAGAGGCCCAGGTCTAAAACAGTTCGCATATCTTCTACCATGTTGATATTTCGGTTTAACTCGCCTACCTTTTATCTTCTGGACATACGATACCATGCCTTTCTTATGTTTCATCTTACTCACCATTTGTGATATTTTTCTTTTCTTCATTTTCTCTTGCTTGATGGAATTTCATGCTGCAGGGGGGCTTGTTCGTTTATTCGCTACTTCTTACTTACATGATGGTGTTTATCTTCTTCTTCATTTCTTCCTCTTCATTCTCCTTAATGACCATTTGCATATACTTCTCACATATCACTAGGATACAGTCTAGTCTACTCTACTTAGTCTATCTAATTCTCCCTTCATTTCACAACTTCTCTCCGCTACCTAGTTAGGCCAGACAGCGCAGATGTGACACGGTGGAGTCCAGGGATCTGCCTAGCAATGCTTGTCCGCTCAGTATCTCAGTATCTAGCTCTCGTTCGGCCGGATGGGTTCCAGATCTTCTCGAGAGCAAGTTAAGGCAAGTTTATAGCCGAGTCTTGCAGGGTTGCTCGGAAACTACATGTGACGCTGTTGCATCAAGCAAGTCTGGCCATCTAGCATCGGAGGTTGATACGGACATTTACTGATACTGATATTATTGATGGACGTGCTATGGCTGCGATGTGTCTCACGACATTAGCCTACATGCAGGATAGCATGGCGGTGGATGATGGCATGGCTGTGGATAACAGGACTGGCCCACGGCATCCTTGCATGCATACAATAATTATGGATTCCCCAGTGGAGTTGCTCTATTTATACCGTTCTCCCTCCTTCGGGGCAAATTCCGTCACTAGGGATACTGATTTGCAGTGTCCATCACCCGCCTATCCAGTATAGTAGTATCGTTGAGAGCCCGGGCTCAATCGTGGTCTTCCTCCGTCAGCCCCGGACAGCCCTCCATGGCCGCCGTCTCATACCGGAACTTGCACCAGAAGCAATAGTGATACTCCTCGCGCAGATACGCCACAGCCCGGCTCAGCCGCTCCTGTACGCTCAGCGCTTCAAAGGCAGCCAGCTCCTCGTCCTCCTCGTCCTCGTCAGCTTCCACTTCCACCACCTCGCCAGCAGCCGTGCGACCCAGCGCCAGTCTATCATCGGCCTCCAGCTCGTCGTCCGCCAGGACGGCAGCTTCGGGTCTTTCTCCGAGTATATCTGCGAACAGTCTCGTGCAGACACGACTCATACCGTCGACGAGCAGCCTGTTTCTCTCGTAGTGCCGCCTCT